GAGTGGAAGACCTCAACACCATTTGCAGTCTATGACTGAGGGAACACTTTATACTAAACACTGCAAGCATTTTGTTAACCAGCAGAATTAGGCACCTTCTCTCCACTCATGTGTCATATTCAATAACCTAAAACCCCTCTGTTTCTTTCCACCTCTGCATCATTTACACAACTAGGATGAGAGTTTGCTCTTTCATAAGTATGTTGCAAGAGCAAATCCATCAGCATTTGTGAAGCTGAGATAACAGGCAATTGGGTGGGTTAATTCAAATTATTTGCATCTTTAAAAAAACCCAAACCTAACAGCCTTTCTATTATTTTACAATCTGTAAGTCTCAAAACTGATTTCCTCCTCGCAGTGATCTTAATACTAATTAAATGAGCTTTTGTCTTCCAACACCAATAAAGATTAAGTACCACATAAAACAGCTGCAGCAAAGCCCCATCCAACGCGCAATTTAACCTGCTAGCTGGTTCCCAGCTGGCACCACGCACACTGTGTGCTTGGAAAGAGGCTTCTTTGTCATATCTGAAGTCACCCGAGGACTTCTCCTTCAGCCCCAACACATTACGGGGAGTTGCTAACTAATGGAGCTATTCAGCAGTGCTTTTGCCTCTTGGACTCAACTGATCCGCCCAGCCAAGTGTGGAAAATACAAAGATAAAGTCAGGAAATGCATTATATTCTAAATCATCTATCATTTGGGAACAGTGGGGTCACAGCACTGTCAATGGACTTGCCAAGCAGCAAAGATTCAAGTTTCTTTTCTCTCTGGTGGGATATGTGAACTACTGCCAGTAGAAAAGCGCGAAGACCCCAATTTCCATGCTCAGGTAAGTGTCCCTCATCCTCGAGGCTGCTCAATATGCACTATCTGCTTGCTTGGCTTCTTGAAGAGACACAGATGCAAGAGTACATTTAATTGTTTTCCTGAATCAGACCCCTGGAGCCATCAATATCTCACACATGTAATTATAAATCATGAGTCTCGCAACTGAAGCGCAATCAGCACATCTAGCCATAAATCTTCCAGATATCAGCAATTTCTCCAAAGCTGCTTTTTGACAAAACCTGATGCAGCATGAACTAAAGTCAGGCAGAAGAAACCGCCGGTGTTGAGGTTCGGCCCACCAGAGCTGCTGCAGCAGACAGGCTCTGGACCGCAAAAAAAAAAAAAAGAAAGAAGAAAAAAAAAAAAATCACGCTCTGCCAGGCAGGAAATGAATCATTCCTGGAGACCACGAGAAGGCAGATCCCACCCTGAAATACCCCATGTCCAGATCAGGTCAATCTGCAATTTCACAGCAGTTCCGAAGACCTTTTCTGGACTTCCCACAGGACATGGAAAGCATCAGCTTTCTTCCATTTTTTCGTTGACACACAGGTCTTCTGGACTCTCAATAAACACTAATCGACGTGTATCATTAATAACAAAGGACTGGCTACATGGCCTAGAGCAAAGTATGTCCAGATATGTAATGCAAGCATGGATTCATTTAGCACCATTTGAACTAGGAAATCAAAATATCTCTGTGAGAGCTCATGCTGATGAAGATCAGGATCTCTATGATGACCGGTTCAAATGTCACTTACTGTCTGCCTCTTCTGTGAGCACTAATTTAGACATGATACATTACACTGTAATCACAATTTTATCTTCTGGGCAGAAGTAGTCAGAGGAAGTCTGTAAGCCTGGCAAGGAAAGTCTAGCTGTGAAATGCATGCATAACTGAGTGCTAAAATTGAGAGTACCTTTGTGTATCAGGATTTTAAATGTTAATGGGGAAAAAAATACAAAAAGAAGAATCCAGGTATTACACTGGCATCCCTCCTAGGCATTACGAGAGACTATTTCTTGTAGGAAAATTATTGGATAAAGCACAAGCCTGGAGCCAGTTTGAGACTGGGCCATATTTTAGATGGATTTCATGCCATCATCTCTCCTGGATAATTATATCTTGTGAATTATCCATGAGAGAAAATTGCCTCCAAACGTATTCACACAGCTGACTGTCTCCAGTCTCCACTGCTGAGTATTTGGTAGGGGCTGACAAGCACGCTGGAGGACCCCTCGCAGGCAGGGGAACTTCTCTTGGGGCTGCCATAATCGCCACATATCGAGAGAGTAAAACCAAAAAAAGGAATAAACTGCCTTACTTGACTCCCACTCTTTTATCCTAAAAAGTCTCTAAAAAACTAATGTACCTCTGTATACTATAATTTCAGAATTTCCTCTAACCCATACATAATTACAAGGAGCATTGCACTGGTATCCCTTTCATGCAAATATTGCCATAAAGTGCATAGTTTTCATAGCATTATATGACGAAAAAATAACTGTAGTCATTTATTTCTGGTCTGTATGTGGTTACACAACATAATGCAATGAAACGGTATTTTTCATTAGCTTTTTGTTGTGGATGCTACCCATTTATCTTTCTCATAATCCTTCCCCCAGTGCATGTTAACAATGTTATTTTAGTAAGTTGTTTATTTAACATCGCTGGGAGGCTACTGGGTCTGTTACAGAAGCCCTTTCCCAGAGCATGCTTTGGAGGCAATGCCTTCCACCCTGGCTCCCTTTAACCCCCGAGCCCTGATTCCCACACACCATGGCCTCAAGCAGCGGCGTCCACATTACAGATGCCTTTAACAAAGTCAAAGCGGATGATCAGGATGTGCATCCTTGTTGCTGCCAGTTGAGTGTCTCCGTAAGCCTTCTCTGATCTCTAATTCATTGGTGGTTCAGCTCCGCAATGCTCAAGAGCTGAGCAGGCAGAGCCTTGGGATTACAAGGCTGCAGATGCCGTGGGGCTCAGGGGGCATGCCCGGCTCCTAGGTTGCCTCCAAAAAGGGATGCAACTGGTGCAGAAAGGTTGCAGGAACCCCAGAGCAGACTGATAAACCTCTCGCACCTCCCAGCTCCTCCTAAGCAGTAACTGTTTGCAATCTGCTTAAATGCAGAAATACGATGCTCAATATCCCATCCACATTTTAGCACCATCCATAGATTTTTTTAAAGATAAAACAAGCACCAGAACAACCTAATATGACATTCTGCCCAACAGACGACAACTCCCACAGCTAACCCTTCATTTCTACAGCAGAAGATCGGAAGTACATAAAACCTCCAGGCAGCGCTCACTCGAAGCTAGCAGTACCTGCTGGCTCACAATATTGAACCAAGGGAAAAACATGTGGTGGTAGAGCTGGAGATGTGTGTAAGTGTCCAGCATCGGTGTGACCCCATTTGCACTCCTGGTGGCTGCCTTTATAAACTGGTTCATATATAGGGAGCCTGGGGCAAAGCTACATCCTAAAAAGCCTCCATCCTCCTTGCATTAGGTACTCATCTCCCCACTCCTCCTCTTCACAGCCATCCAACCCTTCGGCTGCCCATAGCTCTCCTCCTCAGTCACTCACTCTTTTTCTAAGTCTCTTTC